GAAAAATAATTCAAGAGTACCTGAAGAAAGAAAGTTAACTACTTTGAAATAAGGATTTTTGCTTAGTTTGCTCAAAAAGAGGAATTAATTCTACATGGTATCGGACACAGCACAAAGCTAACATTCCAAAGGGATTTTTGTTTCTTATAAAAACCAAGATTAAGCTAGTTTAACATTATAGGTTGGATAGATGAAAAGTAGTCAAAAACTATAGATACACTTTCATAACCTATCAAACCTGAGGGGCCCTAGTCTGACTTAATCCAGAATTAAGAAGACAGTTTGAAGAAACCTGAAATGGACCAGTGCAATTTGAGAGGAACTAAGCACCTCAGGGATGTGCTTCATGAAGAGGCTTTAAAATTCTTTCTTGATTTACAATCTCCGGTTGCCCCTTCCTCCTCTAATTTCTGGCACTAGCCATAGAGCAGGTATTGTGTGCTTAGAACTTTGAAAAGAGGATCTGATACCTTATCTCCCTAAAGCTGATTAGAGAATAGTCCAAAACTATATCTCTAAGTGACTATGTGCAGTTTGGTACTAGTTTGATATGATGAAACTTAAAGAAAGCTGGGAAGTACTTAGAAACACAATTTAATGAAAAGGATTATATAGTTTATTAAAGTACTTGACAGAGCCAACACAGGAAACTAACTCTGCCTCCAATTAACTACCAATTTTATTTAAAATTTATTACCCCCCACAAAGGTCCTCTTTAAAGGCCTGGATGATTTACAGGGGGACTAACGAGACTCCTGGGCTGCAAACAGAACTGTCCTGCAGCACATCTCTCCTGACAATGCTGTCTCTAAGTAAAACACCACACTTCTTGTTTACCTACATTGGGGTGTTACAGCCTACTGCAACTCTGCATTCAACAAGATATGTAACTCCTTAGAATTTTAAGTTCAATTTCATGCTACTATAAAAATTCTAATTATCTATATTAATAAAAGAGGAATATGTAAATTGACCATCACTTTGTGATGCCCACAACCAATCAGGAGTGAGTATGCAAATTAACCCAACAAAACTAGCGGTGGCCCTGCCCCCCGGCCGCTCCGGGCCTCTGGGCAGCGTGCCTCCTCCTCAGGGCCTACCTACCGCACTCCACACCTGTCAACCGTCCTTGCAGCCTCCCAGTGGCCCAGCTCCCGGCCTCAGAGGCAACCCTCTGGTGCCTGAGGTCGTAGCTCCCAGTGTCTGGTGTCTCCCTCTATCCTAGCAGTTCTCAACCTGTGGGTCGCCACCCCTTTGGCGATCGAACGACCCTTTCACAGGGGTCACCTAAGACCATCCTGCATATCAGATATTTACATTACGATTCATAACAGTAGCAACATTACAGTTCTGAAGTAGCAACGAAAATAATTTTATGGTTGGGTCACAACATGAGGAACTGTATTTAAAGGGCCAGAAGGTTGAGAACCACTGCTCTATCCCATTTCTGCCCCGCTGCTCTGGTAAACAAAACCCTAGTGTTGGAGCAGCCCCGTGGGTACAGGCAGGAGCTCGCTCGGTGCACAGTTAGCGTGCCCCGACAGCCCCGGGCCAGCCAAGGGGCGATGGTGGTGGCCATGGCGGCAGCAGCAGGTAGCTCAGCTTTGTTTTGAATAGATGAAAGAGGCCACCTACACAGTAACCCAAATTATCAGATCTCCCTCCTCCCTATCTCGCCAAATCAAGAAGGGAAGGGCAATGGGCATGGAAAGAGGGTGGGCAGGCAGGAGGCGGAGGGCAGAGGAGGAAGAGGAGGAGGAAGGGGGACAGTTGCATCCCAGTTTCACAATGGGAAAGTGAAACGCACTAGCGCACCCAACCTCTCCAGTCCTCCCTGCCTGCCTCGCTCCCCCGACCTCTTCCCCTCTGCGCCTCCCCGGGAGCGCCAGAGCTGCACAGAGGAACTCTCTGGAGAAGGAGGGTGTGGAGGAAGCGGAGGGGCTTGCCACTGCTGCCGCCGCTGCACAGGCTGCCGGAGCGAGCCCGCCGCATGCCAGCAGCCAGGGGAAGGAAGGCCTATTCTTGCACGAATCTTCGTGCATCGGGCTTCTAGTATGACTATAATGATTTTATCCCTTGACATTCTTTTCTTTTCATTTACTAAAGACTTCTTTTATAAATTATCTGAAGCTTTTAAAAAGTAAATAGATGGCAAACCAATGACAAAAGTGAATAGGTCATGTTTAGATAATGCTCTTCTTATACAGATCTATAATTATATCCATTATCTGACAATATCCTTATGATATAAGGAATATCAGATCTTGAGCTTTACTGAGAAGACTGAAAATGCCTGGTCTTAGTACTTTCCTGTTTATTTTTTTTAATTTAAATTCTTTATTGTTTAAAGTATTACGTCTCCTTTTTCCCCCCATTGACCTTTCCCCGGCTGCCTCCACCCCCCAGCATATGCCCTCACCCCCCTACTATCTGTGTCCATTGGTTATGCCTATATGCATGCATACAAGTCCTTTGGTTGATCTCTTACACGCCCCCCACATACACACCTTCCCCTGCCTTCCCTCTGAGGTTTGATGGTCTGTTCGATGCTTCTATGTCTCTGGATCTATTTTTGTTTTTCAGTTTATGTTGTTCATTAGATTCCACAAATGAGTGATATCACGTGATATTTACCTTTCTCTGACTGGATTATTTCGCTTAGCATAATGCTCTCTAGGTCCATCCATGCTGTTGCAAAATGGTAAGAATTCTTTCTTTTTTACAGCAGCACAGTATTCTATTGTGTAGATGTACCACAGTTTTTTAATCCACTCATCTGCTGATGGGCACTTAGGCTATTTCCAAATCTTGGTTATTGTAAATTGCGTTGCTATGAACATAGGGTGCATATATCCTTTCTGATTGGTGTTTCTGATTTCTTGGGATATATTCCTAGAAGTAGGATTACTGGGTCAAATGGGAGTTTCATTTCCTGTTTATTTTTTGAGAAATTATAATATTCCAAAGGATTATTATAATTGTTAGTGTTACATATAATGAGCACTGAATATTACTGTCAAAATTACTATGAAAAATAAAATTAATGTATTTTTAGTCCCTTTGTTATTAGCAGATGTAGTCTATGCATCCAGATAAAAAAAAATTCCTGTGAAAGGTAAGTCTATATTACACAATTTACTATACAACAAAATATCCACAAGCCTCTTTTTTAATATTGATTATCTACTTCTAAGTTTATTGGCAAATTAAATAGCTAGATATAAACAAACAAACAAACAAACAAACAAACAGGAAAGTACGACCAGGCATTTTCAGTCTTTTCATATCATGTTCAAAAGACCAAATCATACAGAGTTGCTATAATACTCAAATAATTTAGTCTTGGACTAAAAGAAAATGGTTTATAAAAGCCTGATATGTAGCCATATAGCCCAAACAAGAAATCTTTCCTGAATAGATTCATGAGGGTATTCAGCTCAACTGATGCATGACGTTATAAAGTCATGGTCAAATAACACTTTCTTACTTCTTTTTATGTGATAATCTTACCATGCAAATGCATATGAGAACCTCTGGATCTGTTCCCAGAGTTTACATAGTCCTAATCTTGGAGTATCTGTTGGCTGGGAAGATAGGCTAAATTCTACAAACGTTCAAGGATGCCTAAAATTCTACTTTGTTTCCACAATGCTATGCAGTGAGATGGCTCATGGTATCATTTTCAATCCTGGGGAAGAAAGACTACTAGACTTAAAAACTGCAAAGAAACATGTAAATATCAAATAAAATATAATGTCTACTGAAATTCATAAATCTTTCATACTAAATAATTTTTATCATCTTATCAGCAACACTTGTCAATTTTAAAAGATCAAAATAAGTTTAGAGGAAATTTAATCCTAAGAAAAAGGTAACCCATAACGCATTACAGATAGGGGCTAAATATGAATTTCGTTAAGCATTCTAAGAAGATAGTGACAATACAATATTGCTCCTAGTAACACTCTTAAAAATAATAGAATCAAAATAAAATGACCAACTTAGTGTTCACATTGTGTTTTCTAAATACAAACTCCAATAAGAGAAACCAGAGTTCCTTGGAGAAGTGCTTGATTCCAGGTGTGCAGAAGGCAAAACACAAGATCAATTGGGAGCATCTTGTGCCAGAAAGTAAGAAAGTACGCAAAGGATGGGGCAAGATGAAAGGACAGAGGCCAGCCAGAAAGAGCTACTAAGGGCCAATGCTGATATTATTTGAACAACAAAACAAATAATGACAGTTTGGGATTAAAACATAGAAAATAAATGCTTATAAACCATACTGACATAAATAAGTAAATAAATAAATAATAGAAGAGAGACCTCTCTCTTGCAGAAGAATTCCAAGTAATAAACATAACAGGTATCAGGGACATACAAACTCACCATTACAACACCACAGTAAATAACTGTTGCCTAGAGACAAGAGCCACCCATCGATGCTAAAATTAGTGGGGGAAGCTTGAAAAGAAACTGAATATTTATATAGTCTCAAAGTATCTTCCCCCAAATATTTATAATCTCAAAGGGAAAAAGAGTAATTTTATAGTGTAGCAGCTCAGCAGACACCACTTTAACAGTGAGATCATGGCAATATCACCAGTAAAAAGACAACAGACATCCTGTTACATCTATATAATGCACTGGGAAGGACATATCACTCATGTAGCAATCTTGCCCCCAAATGCATAATCTCAATATTAACATGAGAAAACACCGGACAAACTCAAGGTGAGACATTCTACAAAATATCTAAGTGAGAATCAGGAGACATGATGGAACTCTGGATGGAATCATAAAACAAAAATGACATTAATGGGAAAACTGGTGAATTCCAATTCTAATAAGGTAATTCTAATAAGGTCTACAGTTAGTTACTAGTGCTGTATCAACATTAATTGCTTGGTTTTAACCATTGTACTATGATTATACAAGACCTTAACATTGAAGGTATAAAGGAAGAAGAAGTACCAAGTTAAAATATAAGCAAATACCCTTACCTTCACTTGATTTTTCTGCTTGTTTTGTTGCATTTTCTACTTTTTTTTGTTTTGCTGCTAAGAGTTCCCGCTTTAATTGTCTTGCTTCTTTTCTGAGCTCTTCACTATAAAGCAAAAACAATCACATAAGTATAAAATATACTGAGAGAAAGTTGTTTAGCAAAAACAAGTAATTCTGGTTTTCAGGTGCATTAAATCCCTAAGAAAAACACAGCTTGTAATGTAATTAATTTTGTGTATGTTTACTTGTGGTATGGAAATATACTTAAAGAATATTTTTAAGTTATAATAGCAACCTATCCATATATATAAAAGGCTAAGCAACCAGCTGACCCTCCGACTGGCTGACCGGCCGGTAGGTATGATGTGCACTGACCACCAGAGAGCAGACGCTCAACACAGGAGCTGCCAAGCGACAGCAACTTTGCAGATTGCCCTCTTGAACTCTGGGACCCCCTGGGGTATGTCAGACTACCAGTTTCGGCCGATCCCCGCAGGCCAGGCCAAGGGACCCCACCTGCTGGAGGGACCCCGCTCACTCTGTAGACACCCTTCGAGCCCTGGCGCAGCCCCAGGTGCGGCTGGCCAGAGAGGGACCTCGGGAGGTTGGTTCCAGGGCGTGTCCGGCTGTCTTGCCCAGTCCTGCCCTGCTGGCCACCTTCTAATTAATTTCCTTTCAATGTGCACGAATCCGTGCACTGGGCCTCTAGTATAATATGAATTATTATAAAATATACCCCCTTTCAAGTATATCAAACAGAATTAGGTAAGTGATAAATGACCCATTGTTCTCCCTCTAATTTACTTGCAAATTTAACATCCTAGTTTCAGTTTAATAATTTGTGGAGAGCCAAATCAAAGTAAAATTTTTAATATAAGTACTATTAACTAAACCTGGGCATACCCAAAAAGATTTGGCTTTAAAACTTACTGAATTCCTGAACTGGCACAAATAACTACCATTTATTAAGCAATTATTACAAGTTAGCTGCAGTGCTAAAATCTTTATAAACTCAATAAAAATTTTAATACCTTTTAATACCCACTTAATACCACAATTTGGCAAATAATTTCCTCTTCTGTGAAAACTACCAGACCAATGTATTCTGATGATGAATACAATCATATATTAAAGGCAAAGTGAAATGTAAATGGTGACTTCACTGTAAGCCACTAGTTAAGTGACTAGTTTCAACAAGCCAGTTTTAGGACAGGAGATTCAAATTCATGCCTTGGAAAAACTTATTAACTTGTGATGAACCCTTAGGGTCACTTGTTTTTTTTTTGTTTTTTAAAATATATTTCTTTATTGATTTCAGAGAGGAAGGGAGAAGGAGAGAGAGATAGAAACATCAATGATGAGAGAGAATCACCGATCGGCTGCCTCCTGCACGCCCCCCACTGGGGATCGAGCCCGCAACCCAGGCATGTGCCCTTGGCCGGAATCGAACCTGGGACCCTTCAGTCCACAGGCTGATGCTTTATCCACTGAGCCAAGCTGGCTAGGGCAGGGTCACTTGTGAATAATCAAAACTATGAACTTTATATCTGTGAATGTTAAACATCCACTCTATTTTCAACTAAAGCTACAGTGGATCACAAAGACTGAGACAGACACCCATGCGAAGGTTTAGTGGAATCTTAAGTCTGAATAATTCTATACTGATTCAACCTTTATTTCTTCATCCTGATCTCTAAATCTGATTTATAGATTATAAACATATATATATTTTACCACTGCCCTATAATAGAGTTACCAAACTGATAGGTCTTACAATGTCAGTGACTCAGTTTTCTTTCTACCTCTTTCCCACATCAAACACACACAGTCATGTTATGTATCTGCTTGGCCTCCAAGATCCTTAATTCGGAAACTCTCCTTCTGATCAATATCTAGTACCTTTTAAAAAAAATTTTTCTTATTGACTTCAGAGAAGAAGGGAGAGGGAGTGAGAGATAGAAATATCAATGATCAGAGAGAATCACTGACTAGCTGCCTCTTGCATGAGCCCTACTGGGGATCAAGCCCACAGCCGGGCATGTGCCCTGACCAGGAGTTGAACCTGTGACCTCTTGGTTCATAAGTTGATGCTCAACCACTGAGCCATGCTGAACAGGGAACCTTTTTAGTTTTCTCACTCATTCATTTGTCTGAACCTGTGCTTACTCTTCTAATAACAAAAGCCAAATCCTTAACGTAGTTCATGGTCTACTGGTCCTATCCTAAGCCCAATTGGCTCTCCATCCATTCTGGATGATTCGTTCAGCCATTTCACTGATGTGCTCAACTGCACCTTTAATTTTCTACTTGTTTGTCCTTATGGATACATCATAATCACCTAAAAAGCTTGTTAAAACAACTTCCAGAAGACAAACCTCTAGAGAATATGATCTCTTTAGATATTGGATGCTGCCTGGGAATTTGCTTTTGTGACAAGTTCCCCAGGTGATTCCATTACGCACTCAGGTTTGGGACCCAATGCATTAGGACCTTACTATAGAAATTATCTCTCTTTCTTACAACTTCAAGCACTCCTACTTCAAAGATCCTTTTATTCAGCCAACAAACATGATCACATTTCCTTGGACTGTGCTCCAATCAAGTGATTATTATCTTCCCAAGTGGACTCCTTGCCTGAAAGAATAGTTTATATACACAGCCTATTGCATCAACCTCTAACTTCTTAATCTCTTGCAATCTATCCTTTTTATACTCTATTGAAACTGCTTCTGTATCAACCAAATTCAATGGCCTTTTCTCAGTCCTCCTCTTCCTCTTTGGCCTATCATGCAATGATATTAACCACTCCTTCCTTCTTGAAATTCTATCCTAATCAGACTTAACTACCACTTAAGAGTCTTGATTTGCCAATTCTCCTTCTCCTAGTTACTCTTTCTCTTCTCATCCTATAATTGTTGGCATTTTCCCCATTTCCATACGCTGTACACTGGCATTTTTATCTAATCATCACATAACATCAAGTATCACCTTTACATAGGTTATTTCCAAATCTAAACGTTTTGCCCTGATTTTGGTCCTGCATTTGTAACTATCTATTACAAATCTCCATGTATATTAGTGCTGTCCAACAAAAATGTAAGACACATACATTTCCTAACAGCTACATTAAACAAATGGTAAAAAAACAACAACACACACACACACAAAAACAGGTTAAAATATCCAAAATGTATTTCAACATGTAACCAATATAAAAATATTACTTTAATATTTTACATTCTTTTTTAGTGCTATATCTCCTAAATCTGGTGTGTACTTTATACATCTCAATTCAAATTAGCCACATTTCAAGGGTCCAGATCTAGAGGAATAGCAGAGGCTAGATGTCACAATAATTACAGAAGCTTTATGTCCAAACTTGAAGTCATCTCCTTCCTGCCCTAACCTGTTCGTTCTTCTGAGGTCCCTAGTTGATTGTGGAAGCACTTTCTGCTATGACCAGACTTTAAACTTCCACTGGGACTGTCCCCGCTCCCTTTCCCTGAATCACTGTTGAAGCACGTCATTTTCCAATCTCTCTCATGTACAAGTGCTCTTCTTGACTTTCACCATCAATGCCTAGTTTAGGCTCTCATTATGTATTTCTTAGATAAATGTAATTACTTCCTATTTCTTGAAGTTATATAAACACAGGGAATAGCAACCACATCTTTGCTCTGTCCACTAAATACCCTTATCTTTTTATTATAATGATTTAAAACATTTTTACTTTGGTAAGTAATTCAGAAATGTAGATAATGTTTTCTGATGACTAAGATTACGGTATTCTGAAGATTAAAGAGGAAATGCTGCATGTTGGCTGAATAAACATTATAAGGGTAATTTGAAGTATGCAGAGAATGAGAGGCAATGAAAGCATATACTATTATAGAAGCAGTAGAGCACAGGATTAACTTTGGATTCAGAAAATCCCTTCCTCTCAGAAAAATCCAAAAAGACAAAGTGAGATAAAAAAGTAGGTCTATAGATAGAGATTATTAAAATATGCTTCATTATCCTGAATTTTTCATGTGATGAAGAGTTTACAATATTGTCATAATCTTTCAGACTATTCAAACAACACCATTTGTTAGTACTTGTGGGATCCATGACTCTTGGAATGAAGTGCAAATTTCTAGTCTAGTCTTTAGATTGCAGTCTGATATTAGGGTTCCCAATCTTATATTCTCTGGATTATAAGCCTATCCTTGGGCACTAGAATATATTAAAATTTGATATAATGGGAATGAAAATTGTAAGCCTGAAGAATACTGCTTACAAAGCAAGCATACAAACTATGGGCTGGCTTTTGAGTCCAGACAGCATTTTTCTGGCTCCTATAGAGCTTAATTTCTGCTTGTATGGCAAAAGAAATCTATCTAATAATAGGATAATATGCAAATTGGTCGGGATGCCGTCACGTAACGACCAGTCAGCAGACTGCGTTCCCGCCCCCTGCGCCGGCCCAGAGACATGAGGCTCGTGTCCCTGACCCTGGCAATGGGCCCTGGGACGTGAGGCTCACATCCCCGCCCCCGGCAACGAGCCCAGGACGTGAGACTCACATCCCCGCCCCTTGTGCCGGCCTGGACACATGAGGCTCCTGTCCCCAACCCCAGCATCTGGCCCTGGGACGTGAGGCTCGCGTCCCCACACACTGCACCGGCCCCGGGATGTGAGGCTCACATCCCCGCCCCCGGCAATGAGCCCGGGACGTGAGGCTCACGTCCCCACCCCTTGCGCAGGCCAGGGGGTCCGTAGGTGCGCGGAGAGGTCCCTCCACCACAGGCCTGGCCGGGGGTCCGCACGTGCGCGGAGGTCCGAAGACCTCCACTGGGGCCCGGCCCAGGGGTCCACAGGTCTCCCCTGGCTCTGGCCTACCTCTCTGGGGCAATCCATCGAGGAGCCCCGGATGGGTGGGCAGGGCCTACCTCTTGGGGCAATGGATCGCAGGGCTCCCACACTGTGACAGGGCACAGGCCAGGCTGGGGGACCCTCCCCCTGCCCCGCCCCAAGTGCACAAATTTCGTGCACCAGGCCACTAGTGGCTTTTATAAGCTGCTATTAACTCTAAGCTAATTAATTTTTTTTCTAATAGGGTGT